TGGTGAGAGTGTGCTTGTGAAGCAGTTCGGCTTTAGGTGTGTAAACAGTGAGATAAAAGTGTGTGTGTCGCTTTAAGAGCCAGTCTTCGGGTGCCTTCTTGGTATTAATAGAGCTGCTGTGTCTTCCTCCTCTGACGTAATGCGCCTACAGAGAGGTCCTGTCACAGCAAAGCGATAACACTTGTCTGAAAGAGACAAGAAGATAAAAGATAACTAGCTGTCCTGCTTTGGACAGCAAACCAATACTCCGACCGGTCAAACATGGCTATAATAACCGATAATTCACACACTTATCAGTCGGTATTAGAGTTTATCTACTGTCGTGAAGCCTGAACTCTCTCTCTTTCCCACCCCCCCTTCTGACCAAAGAGAAAAAAAGAGACAGCCAAGACAGTCACCCCGTCCGACATCATCATCAACAAACAGAAAAAAAAAAAAAAAAAAAAAACCCACAAAGAGACGAACCAGCCACCATCTTAACAGGCTCTCACACAGAGAAAAGGGGCTTATTTTGATCAACAGGTAAGCAAAAGCATTAGCAACTGAAATACATGCAACTCTTTCGCGCTTTGAGTAAAAAAAATAAAAAAACGTGAACGCCTCACACTGCAGGTTCGTTGAGTTGTTCGCAAAAAAAGTAAACGCATGCGGCTCGGACGAGATGAATTTAGTCTCCCCCCTCCCTCACCCATACTCTTAAAAAAAAACAAACGGAAGCGATATTAGGAGGCAAAATGTTGCTGTTCGCTGTTTGCAGTTTTTACGACGGACAGCAGTCGCTTTGCGTCTTATGTAACTCGGCCTGAGCGGCGTCGGGGAGGAAAGAGGGATCTGCTGCTGCTGAATGAGAGAGGAGGAGGAAAAAAAAAGAAGAGAGAGCAGCACCGCTTTTGAATTCACATGGCAATTCACATTTAGGTTAGGACACCCACCAACGCCACGCTAATACAAATTGGGAGTGCAGGGGAGGGGGGGTGCGCTGCTACCGGGAACAGCTACCGCTTTGATTTAGTTTGAAGCCAAACAACAAGAAGGGGACGTGGAGTGACTCTGTCGCCTCGGAAGAAGTAGGTTTATTTCTTTGCTTTGCTTCTAAGTTTTTTACGGTCTTCTGCCTTTACGCTTTACGATAAGCGGCGCAGCCGGCCGAGTCGCCCGTGTTTTTGACTTTTATTTGTCGGTTTTCATTGATAACTCAGCGCAAACTTGATACTCAAGTTCAGATTTCTCCTTTGATCCGCCGCGTGACGCACGCCGTCTTCGCGGCGTGCTTTACAAAAGATGAGCCCACTTAGTAACCTTATTGTTGTTAATATCACTTATATTAAAAAAAGTGCGAGTGTTTATTGCCTTTTCTACCGACATGGCGCTGGTTTTGCACCTCTTCATTAGGGAGCGCATTGCTGCTTCTATCAACTTTAAAGAGAAGTTTGCTCAAGTGTTGTAGGTTGTGCTAATCAATGAATTTATTTGTTGTTGTTTGTCTCTTAAGCGATGCCGGGAAGCTTGAGTTGCATTTCCACTCAACTCTGAAGAAGCCCCCCCTTCTTCCTCCTCGTTGTTACAAACTGTGATGTTCCTTTGAGATAAGGGAGCTGGGTAGGCATGACAACTCTGTGGGGAGAGCAGAGTATGTGAATCCAGTACAATGAGGCACACACTGCAAGGAAGCTGTTTTTTTTTCTTTCTTTTTTTTATACACAGTGTTCACCAGAGTTCCCCCCACAAATCTGGACCCCCACAACCCCATCAGGGAACTGCCTGTGTGGACTTTAGTTCAGCAGATAACCTCCAGAAGTTTGTCTAAAACTCACCCCACAGACCTGCTGGACTTTGCTTCTCACTTATTTTCAAAGTTAAAATAATTTTTTTTAGTTTTAAACACTTTCTGCCAAACAAAAGTTGTGTAAAAGTTATTACAGATTAATTTAAAAAATGTACATTTAGTTTGAAATGAGTTCAAAGTCTGTAGCGTCCAAGTTTTCCCTGAAAAAAAAAATACTAATAATAATTTGGCGAGTGTTGTGTACTTTTAAGTTTTACCAGTGAGGATAACTTTGAGCTATTAAACAGTAAAATAATATTTTATTGTGTAACTGTGAAGCTATAGGTTTGACGTTTAGCAAGACATTTCTCCAAGTTTTCTTTTGAAGTAAGAAAAATAGTATATATATAGCGCTTTTTTCTTTTTTGAAGAAACAAAACAAAAAGTTTCGCATGTCGTCAAAGTAGAACCAGATTTTGGAAGAAGCGTTTATTTTCTAAACTTGAAGTTATGGCGACACATTCAGCTTAGTGTTTTAACTTGTCTTACGAGGGTTTTTGTCATGTAATAATTAGTTTTTTTCCGGTAGTGCAGTTTCTTTTTTTGTTTTGTCCATTTTGAGAGTTAATAGTAGCAATAAAAGATGTACTTTTTAGCCACTTATGAAAAACTTTCTCTAAAGTTGGCTCGTTTAGACGGCTTGGTTTCAAACTCAGATTTGACAAACAAGTTGTCAGGATAAAGACCCTTAACTACAAATGACTCACCATCATTCCAGACTTATACTAGTCTTCTAAATTAACTAAAAATCTCAAGCTCCTTATGTGTGAATATAATACATTTCACCGGCTTTTTCCAGACACTGGATTATATTTGTATCTCCCAGTTCTGCTCTGAGCTACTATTAAATGCCAAAAAAAAAAAACAGTTGACAGCTTCTTAAAGAGAGGCTTGTAAAAAGTCATTTGCTTGTGCGCGAGACGGCGCGGGTCGACGGCAAAAAGCAACTTATTCTTGTGCGTCTTTATGTTGTGTGGAGACGGCCCGTGGCCCGCTCATATGGCAGCAACATGTGGAGCGTCTGTGGTGGAGCTCAGAGGAGAGAAAGTTTCCCAGAGAGGGAGAGAGCGAGGCGACGAGAACACACGGAGCGAGGGAAGTCAGAAACGTCCTGTTCGACTATAGCTGGAATGTGTTTTATTGATGGTTTGATGTGCTGGAAGTACTGTAGTGATTTTTGCGGGCCTGCTGTGTGTTTTGTTTTTGGTCGTTTTTGATGAGGACAGTTTAGAGACGAAGCTTTTAAACAGTGGCGTTCAGTGATTTCACTCGTACAGTTCAAGAATTAAGCAAACCTGATCTTATTTCGCATTTTTATTGTCAAATTGAATCATTTTGATGATTTTAACATAGAGTTAATACATAAACAAGTTGATTGGAGGAATTAAATTTTGTGTAACTTGCATCAAACCCCACTGAAGTGAAGGTTTTACGTAAAATGAAGTTAGTGCAAACTTTTGTCACCGATTCAGGGGAAGCTTTCTGTTTCCACTTCTGCATTTTTTTTTTCCTTTTCGTGAAAACAGAATTTTGTCTCATTTCTTCGCCACAAACCAGTAATCTGTTGACATGTCGTCGTTTGAGGAAATGAAAAAGACGTGTTGCCCACAAAGTAAAATACGAGTAGATAACCTATTTATTTCAAAATCAAGTTCTAGTTTTGTCTTCCCCCCCAGTTTGTGTGTTATGATGTGCCAAATAATTCGATGTAAGAGAAGCCTTACACGAGTAATTTCTCCTAAGTGCTCTCAGCTGACGCTCGCCGAACATTTCAGCCCAGCACGGCTGGCTCCACCACGAATCAAACCTGCTTTTAAACATATTCATTTTCTGAAAAATCTGGACTCACACTTCCTATATATTTCTAACTTCTAATCACATTTATTTACGATCTGGATCGTCCCAACGCTCCCTGTCGTTAATAAAAGATAACCTCTATTAGAGCAGTGGTTCCCAAACTTTTTATCTTCTGACCCACAAAATGTTCCTGGCAAAAACTTGTGACCCCAAATATTACTGGTCTGAGTACACAAACTTTGTTAATTACCATAAAAACAAAGGCTACACAAATATAAATACTTATTTATCCTTATTTTGTGTTTTTGTAATAATTATAGGGAAAATATTACAACGCTAATTATTTTATTACCCTTTTAAATTGATTTCTGAAAAGCAGTGGTTCCCAAACGCTTCAGCTTTTGACCCACAAAATAACAGATTTATATCAGGTCAACTAAACATGGGCGTATTAACAATATTTCTACATTTATACATTTTAGCCAACTAAGGCAAAAAATGTAATGAATTTAGAAAATCTTTTCAGGACCCCACCTTGATGTTTCAGGACCCCACTTTGGGTCCCGACCCCAACTTTGGGAACCACTGTATTAGAGCAATCAGCTGTTCCTCTTGGCTCAGCCTGCTGTTGAGATGAAGGGAAAACACCCATTTGTTACGGTTGGTTTATTTGAAGAAACAAACTAACTTTTTCATTTTATTTTCAGGTTTTCTTGCTCGCTCTGCTCCTTTTTTTCTTTTTTTTTTTTTTTATTAACCACTCTTGTTTTGCCCATACCCCAAGGATGTGATTTGTTTGTAACTTATTTAACTGTCTTGCTTTTATTGTTTCTGGACTTTATAGTAGTTGCCTTTAAGGGTGGCGATACAGGCTTAGTTTCTTGTTCTGTTTACTATTAGGGTTGGGCAATATTGGCAAAAAAATGAATCGTGATTAATTGTGGTATTTGGCCGATAACGATTAATTTGACGATTGACCCTGGAGTTCCTGGACACCCTTATGTCCTGGTCGTATGACCAATTTAGTGGGAAAGATTTGCTCTTTGTAAAAATCTGTTCCAAATTGTGTCAAAATCACAGACTTCAGGCCGTACATCAAATTTTAAATTGTGTTGATGGATAAATAAATTGCAGAACTTTTTTAAAAAATGTTCATATTTGAAGCGAAGAGGAGCACCGAACGGACTGCCTGGTGGCATTAATCATATTAATCATCAATTGCCAAATAATAATCGATTAATGTTTTTGTGATGATTAATTGCACACGATACGATTATGCCCAACCCTACTAGTAGTCAGTCTGGAAACAGTGTCTGTTAAATGTCATCCCCACTGTATTTGTGGGTTTTTGTTTAGGCTCTAGTTCGTTTTTAATGTCTTTTGGTCGAGTTCAGATTTGGAAGCCAGTCTTTTCTAGATGCTTCAGATAACAAACATATGGTTTTAGTTTATGGCGAGATGATTTTTTTTAAAGTTTACGTCTATTATGACTCTTCTTTTTGAAGAGGGCACGTCAGACTCCTAAATACGAGAGGGTAAAAATCTTCCTACGAAGTGGAAACTGACAAGTGGTGGAAACATGAACAGAGTGAGGGTGGTGGTGGTGCAGGCAGCAGCGTAAGCTCTGTGGTCGCTCCTGTTACCGAAAGTTTTGCGCATATCCCGCAGCACCTGCCTGCTGCTCTACGTTTCTGTTCACGGCTGCGGATGAAATCTGTAAAAACGGCTGCAAACTCTTTATTTTCTGCTCCTTTTCCTGTATCAGAGTAATCAGGAAGCCGGTCGCAGCCTTTGAGGCAGCTGGTAAAATAAGACGAGCCGGGCGTTGTTCCACAAACTCGTGAAGTCTGACTGCTTTGACTCAGCAGAGTACGAGCCACGCTATGCTTCCTGTACGCCCAGACCTTCAGTTATCAATCACTGTTGTGAGTCTGTGTCGGATAATTCTGGCCTGAATGAAATGCATCCGAATGAAAAACAGTTTCTCAACAATCTGTCGGTGAAATGGACAGAATATGGTCTGTGCATAGTTAAAATAAAAAGATGTAATTCTGCACCAATGTGTTGATCACAATCATTTTTCACAATTATTGGAAATAAATGTTACACTGCTATTGCAGCCTTTTGTTGTGCTGCATTGATTTACACATTTTTGCATCAAGATCCCTCTTATTTGCACATATTTAGTATATTTCTTTGATCAGGGGTTTCATAAACTAAATTATTACTTAGACTTTGACGTATTCTAAGTGCTAGTGTTTCTAATCAAATGTTTGAAGCAGCAGGGCCGGATTCATCTACAAGTGTTTGTGGACTGAAGGACTTGAACACTTAAAGTTAATAAGTTGTTCTCTGGCTGTTTTTATTGCAATGCTTGAATATTTCATCTCTTGCATAAAAAATACATGTAAACTAGGCTATTGGCACTGCTTAATTTAATTCATT